TTCCTCTGGGTGGGGTCTCACTGTGATTCCCGTGGCATTCAGTTAGAGGCTTTTTTGGTAGGTTGCCTCGAAGGCCTAAGGAGTGGGCTTGGGCTAAAATATTATACCTCCAAGTTGTGTCATATGCCTTCTCAAGGTCAAAAAATATGGCAATAACTGAGTGGTTATTCGCAAAGGCATTACGAACATACGTATCCAAGCGTAGTAAGGGGTCTATGGTAGAACGTCCCTTACGAAAGCCATATTGACGAGTGGAGAGACTGTCGTGTGTCTCTAAATACCACACTAAACATCTATTTACTAGGCGTTCCATCACTTTGCAAACTGCACTGGTAAGAGCAATGGGACGATAGTGGGAGGTTTCATGTCCCGTAGTGCCTGGTTTGCGGAAAGGGAGAACAATGGCGGATTTCCACAACTGTGGAAGAACTCCTTGTGACCAAATAAGATTGTAAAGGCGTAATAGGACTGCAAGGGCTGACTGATGTAAATGTTGTAGCATACGAATATGAATGTCGTCGGGCCCAGCTGCCGATGATCGGCAAGCTGAGAGTGTTGCCTCCAGTTCTTGAAGTGTAAAAGGCACATTATACTGTTCTTCTCTGAGAGAAGAAAAGTCCAAGGGTGCTAACTCTCTGGCAGACTTTGAGGAAAGAAATGAGGGGCATAGATGGAGCCCCTGAGAAATACAGACCAGATGATTGCCAATTTCATTGGCAACATCTAGTGGGTTTGCTATATCAACACCGGCAACCCGCAGAACGGGAGCCGGGTCAGGAGAATATTTACCACTCAGTTTTCGTACTTTTTTCCAGACTGCACTCATAGAGGAAGCAGAGGTGATGGTGGAGACATAATCTCGCCAGCAAGTGCATTTAGCGTCACGGATGACATGGCGAGCGATCGCACGCTTCTGCTTAAATTCAAGAAGTCTCTCTGTGGTTCTATTGTACCGGTACCTGCCCCATGCAGCGCGTTTCAAACGTACTGCATGAGCACAAGCAGGAGACCACCAAGGCACGCATTTCTGAGAATGCCTGCCCGAAGTTTGGGGTATAGAATGAGAAGCTGCGGTTAAAACGGAGGACGAGAAGAGGTGTAAAAGCTCATCGATGGAGGACGAAGAAGGAACCTCTCTAAAAACAGTTAGGTGTGAGTAAAGGTTCCAATTTGCCTGATCAAATTGCCAGCGTGGGATGCGAAGAGGTAGTGAATATGAAGGGGAAGTAAGAATGATTGGGAAATGATTGCTGTCATGTAAGTCCGGAAGAACAGACCAAGTGAAGTCTAATGCAGCTGAGGAAGAGCAGACTGAGAGATCGATGCAAGAGAGAGTGTGAGTCCGAGGATCAAAATGGGTGTGAGTACCTGTATTTAGAACATGGAGGGGGTGGGTGGCAAGAAAAGCCTCTAACTGAATGCCACGGGAATCACAGTGAGACCCCCCCCCAGAGGAAATGGTGGGCATTAAAATCACCAAGTAACAGAATCGGTGGCGGTAATGACGAAACAAGAAAGGCAATATCCGGAATAGATAATGCCTGAGAAGGGGAGAGATATAAAGAACAGAGCGTATACCACCTATGCAAGTGGATACGGGCTGCTGTGTAATGCAGCGAAGTATGAACAAATAGCTGATGGTACGGAATATCAGTGCATAGAAGGAGGGCACTTTCATTAAAGGTTCCATCAGGAAAAGGATCTGAAGAATACAATAAATTATAGCCTGAGATGGGAGAGATAACAGCAGAGTGTAATTTTGGTTCCTGTAAGCAAACACCAACAGGGGGAAAACTGGGAGAGTAACATCTGAAGCTCACCCCGATTACCCCTGAGGCCGCGTATATTCCACTGTAAATAGGCCATGATTGGCAATGATAAAGATACTTGAAATCCGCAGGTAAGGGTTCCTACGGACTAGAGGGGTTAGAAAAGAAGTCCACATGCGGAGGCAGTGGAAAACATTCAAGCAGCGAAGGAACGGTGCGCTGTGAAGAAAGGAGTTGCGCAGATGGAGTAGAGGAGAGAGAAGGAGCGGAGGGTGGATCAGTGTCCATTGATGGTTTGGTCTCTGCAATATATTCAGAGATTGCTTCAAGTGTTTCAGAATTCAGAGACGTCGTATGGGAGACAATATTGGAAATGGTAGGGGGAGGATGAGTAAAGATTGGAACTGTAATGGACTATACCAAGGTAGGAGGGGGCAAAAGAGTGGAGGGAACTGGAGAAGCATGGAAGGGGACAGAAGAGGCAGAAACCTGGGAGGTGGCAGAAGAGGAAGAAACTTGGGAGGGAACAGGGGAGGAAGGTACAGTACGAGGAGGAGGGTGAACCTCTACACTTGTAACAGAGCCAGTGAGAGGGGGAGAACCAGGTACAGAGACAGGGAAGGGAAAATGAGGAGGTGGAAGATGGGTAGGAGGTGTTAACAGACCTTTTTTTGACTTTTGAGAAGTAGAGGGACAATTGGGAGGTGTCATACGAGATCTCATCGCTACTGAGGCTTGTGAGAGAGAACACGAAGAAGCAAGATCAGACTGAGACGTTGAAGTAGGGATGTCTGAGCCGAGGACAGCAAAAGAATTAGCTACAGGAGTGACTATGGGAGAGGTAACCACAGATGTGGGTGCAGAAGATGGGATACCAGAAGTGGAGGGACGTTTTGAAACACGGGAATAAGAAACACGAGGTAGTCTCCCTTGGAGGCGGAGATGAGAAACTGCCATGGCATAAGGGAGACCTTCTGCCTCTTTGAGGTAACGGATTTCCCGCTCGTTTAAGTAGACTTGACAACGGCGAGAGTACGAGGGGTGAGCCTCATGACAATTAAGGCAAGAGGGAGGTCGATTGCAAGACGTATTAGAATGGTCATCGGCACCACAGACTGGGCATTCGGCGATAGATCTGCAATATTTCGCTGGATGGCCAAATCGCCAGCAATTTCTACACTATTGCGGTGTAGGGATCACCTTTCGAACTTGTAACCGATGTCCTGCTACATAAACTGAGGATGGGAGTTCACGGCTGTCAAAAGTTAAATGAGCCACATTGCTAGGGTATCGTCTCCGCCCACGGGCAGGAAGAACGTAAGTGTCTACCTTGAGGATTGGGAGATCTTGGAGTTCCAGCTGTTCAAGAATGTCAGTGCCACATGTCTGGAAATTTTGTTGAACTATGGTATGGGGCAGAATGATGGTACCACTACAAGAATTGAGGGAATGAAGCTTTTCAATAGTGACAGGAACAGTATCGATATGGGAAAGACGAGAAAGTTCATGAGCCTGGGTAGCATTCTATACGGTGATGATGCACGTACCGCTCTTAAGAGCATGAAAAGAAATATCTTTACCAACATGGCATAGGAGTGCCTTGCCAATACTGTGGTCAGAAAGATAGGCAGTAGAGGAAGTCGGTCGTAAAGTGAAGAATTTAGTCCATTGTGCAGTCTGAAACTGAGCGTGGAAAGGTAGTGAAGGATGTGTCGATCTTTTCTGAGAAGAATGAGAAGGTGGAGAAGTATCATCAGCAGGTAATTGTCGTTGACGTTTAGGCATGGGACCAGAGTTGGTCCGACGTGGAACGGGCCGGCGATTCGAAAATTGCCGCACCGTAGAGGGAGAGGCCGGAAGCATAGTCGGAGGAAAGCGAAGGTCAGATAAATCGAAGGAGTCAGTCGAGGCCTCAGTACCTGAAGTGGGTGAGGAAACAGCACCGGCAAGAGGTACAGAGGCATGAGGAGTGTCCGAAGAGTGGTCCAAAGACGAGGAGGGGTCAGAACGGGGTGCGGTATCAAGAAGGGGCCCGGGGGTAGCAGGTTCATGCACTAGGGCTGCCATGGTTAGGTTACTTCTTTTTTTTTTGTTTTTAAGAAAAAAAAAAGAAAGAAATGAAAATAAAAAAAGAATAAAAAAAGGTGGGACCAGGGAGGGATAGTTCCTAGGAGGAATGAAAGGGCCAGAAATCTCCCTCCGCGCCCAAGAGGGCCTCAGCACCGCAAGTAGCGCAGGTGCAGCATGGAACCCGTGCCATACCCTACCCATCATGCCGCTGTATAGTCCTTGTGGCTTAGCGCTTCTTTTTGATTATAATAATAATAATACCCATCATGCCAGTAAACCAGCAATCCGGGATAGCAACCTCACATCTGCCGAGCTACCTCGGTGGACAAAAGAGAGGGCGGCCAAAAATCCGCCATAAAGCATACCTCCTTCGGCCACCACCCCCGGAATCTGAAAGGTGGCTTCCAGAGATACACCCGTCACCCGAGAGACACCCAAAGCCACCCTCCGGGATACCGGAGAGGGATCAGAACATCCCCAGGCAATCCAGATTCCACGGCAAACTACGCCACCGCCAAGAACCTCAACGGAATGGGATGGACCCCGGTACCCTTTCCCCTACCTAGGAACTAGCGTGCCTGTGGGGAAAAAAATAAAAAAAAACCAAAGGGCAAAAGGGAGGGGTGGGGAGGAGGAGGAGGAAAGGAAAAAGGGGAGGATGGGATAGGGAACGGGGGATTGGGGGGTAATTAGGTTCGGTCTGAGGAAGTGGACCGACAGGTCTAATTCCTCAGACCAAGAGCCTCTTCACCACGCCAAGGAGCCCCCCTTGAAGAGGGGGAAGTGCTAAACTTGTAGGGGGTCATACAACTCAAGATCCAAAGAACTGGAGCTATCCTACCCATTCTTGGATCAATTATCATTATAATTGGGGAAAGTGATACACCTATGTATCTTACAGCACGTGGAAAATAGAAGGCATTCAGGTGAGCGAGAGCCCCTCACTGGCATGAAGGCACCTCCCTTGATGGGTTCTTGAATCATACCTGATTACCTACCATTACGCAAGTGATGTACGACTCCTTAAAGGTTTAGTGTTTTCTGTGAATATGATAATGTTTGACCCCTATGGGTTTAACATTTTCCCCTGAATACAATAATAATAATAATATGCTTCATATTACAAAAATAGCAAAATGGTCAAATTATAATAGAATTCCCTTCATTATTTGCATTATAAAATTTATTTATTTGCCATGACTTCTATTTTTAGAAGCAAGTAAAACATTACACAACATCTTTTGCTCATTTGCTCAGTTCTAAAATTATTGCTATTTTAATTGCATTCTAATTTCAGATGTAAACTGTATGACCCATATCTACTGGTATTTGTTTTTGAATAAACAGTATTCATAATTCAAATGCAAATTCCACAAAAACAGTATAGTATTTATATTATCAATGACAAGCATGCTTGAAGAAAAACTGTATTAAACCTAGTATTTTATAAGTCTTTCTAAATAGTTTAAAAATTTACAATTAATATTAGAAAACATAGCTTAATTCAATGAAAGCATAACAAAACAAATTATTTTGTGTACACTATACTGTATATAAAATTTATTTACTGGACAAATGTACTGTGCATTTTCTTGAAAAATATAAAATACAGTACTTCCTGACACAATTACCAGCACTGTAAACAGTCACACACACTTGGCCAATTTTAACAATTATAAAACATTGGGGCAGGTTAAAATACATAAATCACTTGAGGTATGTATCTAAATACTATAACATGTATGAAAAACTATTTACAATTTTTGTTTACTGACACATGGAAAGTCTTCTAGGAGATCTGTGAGCCCTTTCTGGTCTTTCTCTGCTTCCTGACCGTTCCCGAGTAATTTCTGTTGCTTTCTTCACTGGCTTAGCACTGTCTTCACAGTCAGCCTTGTTCTTCTTGTTACTTACACCTGTATCATCTCCATCTTCACTTTTCCGTTTTTGTTTAGCACTTGCATCTTGTGAGTCACTCGGGTTTTTATTCTGCTTCACCACTGGTTCTGAAACTTCACTAAGAACCTGCACTACTTTATTGCTTTTCTCTTTAGCATCCTCCTTTTGTTTTTTCTCTGGCACAATTTTTGCATTTTCATCATCTCTTACTGATCTTCTCCTGGATTTTATCCTTTCCTCGGTACTTGCCTCTTTTTTCACACTTGACTCTTTTTTCAGACTTTCAGTAGCAGAGGATTCACTAGGTCCCTCTCCTTCATAAGATTTTCTGCGGAGCTTTGACATATATTCTTCTAAATCAGGCCGACTCCTTTTACCAGCTTTTTGGTCATCCTCTTTCTTTTCACTGGATTTTCCAGCAACAACCTCCTTCTCCTTCCTTGCACTAGCTGGTCTTGGTAACTTTATATCTCTTTTCTGTGCTTCCTCTGACACAATTTCCTCTTTGTCATCTTTTAGTTCTTTGACTCTCCTTGAAATTTTCCTTATGTCTATTGCACTTTCACCAGACTTTTGTAGTTCTTCATCCTTTACTACCTCATTTTGCTTTTCTTCATTTAATTTTTCACTCTTGAGTCTTTTAGTGGATCTAGTAACTATATCTTTTTCCTGTTTAACTCTGGGTGAGGATTCCTGAAGTTTGTCTGAAAGCCTTTTATTTGCAGCACTTTGTTTTTTTTCTTTCTCATCCATCTTCTTTGGGCTCTGCTGTTTAGTGTCCTTTTCAGAAGAGTCTTCAACTGTAATTTTATTCATTTCTTCTTCTCTAGTTTTTTGGTCTTTTCGCTTATCCTTTGGTGACTCTGTGCCTGTTCGTTCATTTTTTTCTCGTTTCTCATCAACTCTCGGATCTTGTTCATCTTTTGACCTTCTCACACTTTGCCTTCTCTCAGGTCTTTTAGAAGCATCTTGATTTACCTTACCTTCATAAGTATCTGCACGATGTACTTCAACAGCTGTAATGATAACATTTTTCTGGTTGATCTGTATATCAGAAGTTTTATTTACCTGAGATCCTGATGTAGCTTTCTTATCAAGTGGTTTCTTTTTGCTATCTTGTTCAGAGGTTGCTTCACTCTTCTTATAAGTCTGTTCTGCACAATTTGTCTTCTTGCTAGGTTGCTCTGTCAATATAGCAGTCTTTATGACTGTCTCAGGGGAAGAAGCAGCAGCAACAGCACTCTTATCTTGCTTTCCTTGTTCAGGAGAGAGAGTTTTATTCTGATCAATGGACACCGAGTTCTTTTTGGTAATCTTTTCAGGAGATGGGGAATCTCTATTGGTAATCATCTCAGGAGATAAATCTGTTTTCTTTTTAGAACCCTGTTCAGGTGTTAAACACTTTTTGGAGCAATGTTCAGATGAATTTCTAAAGCCTTGTTCAGGTGATGAACATTTTTTGGAGTCCTGTTCAGGCACTGAATTCTTCCTGGAATCTTGTTCAAGTGATGAATTCTTTGTGGTATCTTGCTCAGGGGATGAACTCCTTTCTGAACCTCGTTCTGCAAAGCTCTTCTTAGAAATTTCTTCTGGAATTGATGCATTCCTTCTGGTACTCTGTTCAGGGAGTGAAGAATTCTTTTTGGTACTCTGTTCAGGGAGTGAAGAATTCTTTTTGGTACTCTGTTCAGGGAGTGGAGAATTCTTTCTGGTACTCTGTTCTGGCCGTGGAGAATTCTTTCTGGTACTCTGTTCAGGGAGTGGAGAATTCTTTCTGGTACTCTGTTCTGGCCGTGGGGAATTCTTTCTGGTACTCTGTTCTGGCCGTGGAGAATTCTTTCTGGTACTCTGTTCTGGCCGTGGGGAATTCTTTCTGGTACTCTGTTCAGGGAGTGGAGAATTCTTTCTGGTACTCTGTTCTGGACGTGGAGAATTCTTTCTGGTACTCTGTTCAGGGAGTGGAGAATTCTTTCTGGTACTCTGTTCAGGGAGTGGAGAATTCTTTCTGGTACTCTGTTCTGGCCGTGGGGAATTCTTTCTGGTACTCTGTTCAGGGAGTGGAGAATTCTTTCTGGTACTCTGTTCAGGGAGTGGAGAATTCTTTCTGGTACTCTGTTCAGGGAGTGGAGAATTCTTTCTGGTACTCTGTTCTGGCCGTGAAGAATTCTTTTTGTTTATTCGTTCTGGTGAATTCTTTTTAGAACATTGAGCAAAATTGACTTTGCAAATTTGTTCAGATACTATATTCTTTTTAGAACTCTGTTCTAGATGTGACAAATTCTTTTTACAGATTTGATCAGGTAGTGATATATTCTGTTCAGTAACTACATTCCTTTTGCATAATGGCTCTATTTTACTATTCTTTTTCAAGACTTGCTGAACTGATGCATTCTTTTTTGCAGCTTGCTCAGATGATGCTATATTCTTTTTGGCAGCTTGCTCAGATGGTATATTCTTTTTAGCAGCTTGCTCAGATGGTGATATATTCTTTTTAACAACTTGCTCAGATGGTGATGCATTCTTTTTAACAACTTGCTCAGATGGTGATGTATTCTTTTTAACAACTTGCTCAGATGGTGATGTATTCTGTTTGGGAATTTGCTCAGATACAAATGAAGTTTTCTTTTTCAAAACTTGTTCAAATGAAGGTGTATGCTTTTTGGATGTTTGCTCAGAGGACACTACTGCAGTCTTTTCATTCATCACCTCAGATAAGCCACACTTAAGATCTTGTTCTGGTGATACAGCAAGTTTTTTGCTAACTTGCTCTAAAGAAGTAGAGTTCTTTTTACTGACTTCTGAAAGTGAATTATTTTTATTACTGTGCTCTGGTGAATCTATATTTTTTTTACCAATTTGTTCAACAGAGCTTTCAATATCATCACCTTCCTGGAAGTAGCTTTGTTGTCTTGTTGAAGCTTTCACATTTTCACTTAAAGCAAGATCTGTTTCACCTTTTTGTGTCACATTCTTGTTCTGAGAGCTTTCAAAGGTTTGTTTATCATTAGGCATTTTCTTTTGGCAGCTATCCACCTGTTTAGCACCGTCTTGTTTATCCACCACCACCACTTTGTCTAGCTTCTTTTTATCTGACGTATTCAAAATATTTTTTGCTTTGCCTAGAGGTATCCCATTTGATTTTACGTCTAACTCCAAGTCTGAAGTCTTGCCTGACACTGTGTCTGCTTTCTTGCTTTCATCTAAATTTTCACCTTTTACTTTCTCATCCTTTTCATCAGAAACCAATTTATGAGGGCATTCTAATTCTTTCCTTGTAGCAAGACTGCTTTGTGATTCATCTGGAATTTCTTGTGTACTTTGGGCAATTCCAGGAGAGGAGGATCTTGAATGAGATGATGAATCTGAATCTGAAGAAGGATCAGCAGCTGGATCAGGTGGTGGTGGAGGTGCCCTTGTTAAGATACCCTCTGACCCAAGTGTATAATCATGAGATTTTCCCCATACACGAAGTGCTGGAAGTGGGATCTGGGAACAGGGATGCAATGCTAATTTGGAGAGAAGAGGCAGACAAGTGAGGGATGGTAGACATGTAGGTGCCAGACGATGACAACCTCTCAAATCCAGTGATGACAAGGAATGACTAACAACACTAGAAGGATGAGCTAGTAAAGCCACACTTAGTTCTGTTATACGCTGGCAGCTGCTCAAATCAAGAGCACTAAGAAATGGAAGAGAACGTACAATGGCTCGGACTCCTTCATCTCCAACATGTGTTCCTGCCAAATGCAAATTTGTGAGTTGACGTAGTCTTGTAGTTGTGTCACGGTGGCCTGGACGATGAGTTCGTGGGGCTGAAAGCAAAGTTGTCAGTGTACTGTCAAACAATCCTTCACAGTAAGAAAGATTGAGTTTTGACAAAGCTGAGCAGTAAGGGGAGACAAGGCATGACACAACTTCCCAACCCTGACCCTCTAGATGTAACTCCTTGAGTTGAGGAAGCCGAGCTAAAAGCCAAGACAACTGTTCTGCAGTTACTCGAGCCCAACTTAAATCTAGAGCACAAGGTTGGCGCCTTACTATTCCCTCTAAGTGACAGACACCAATTCGCTTGTGTGCTAGACTAATAGTTTTCCATAAAGATGGGTTAACTGCCCACTGTGCCCAAGTTCTACAAACTTGCATTACCACTTTTAAGTCTCTAACAGGCAAGTGATGGAACACAGGAAGCATTACTGCTCGATTCATTGCTGGTGGTAAAGGTTCACGTGTGACTGGACGACTCTCCCCATCACTACCACTCTCTTCATCATCTTCCTCTTCCTCCTCCTCTTCATCAGGGGGTGGTGGGTTAGGCCTCACCACCCAGACAGGGCGTACCAGTGGATAAGACACTCGAGCCTGTAGCTGGTCCCACGTTGGCATGTGTGGAGGAGCAGCATCAAGGCCTTCTATTGTGCTGCCTTTCTGTAAAAGTAAAAAAAAAAAACAGGTGTTATGTAATAACTTCTTTTGTAATAAATTTACAAAGGATATGTTGTCAGCCTGCTACCTATAGCTTGTAAATGTTATATCCTGCCTAACAGTGTGCTTCCATTGTTCCATTTGTGCAATTAATGTACTAAGCAAAGGAGGCTTGCCTGCATTTAGCCATCCCTTTGGTGAAGACTCAGATTGGGTTTCTGGAAATGACAGGAAACATTAGTGTTAAAATTTTTAATTTAATGTTTTTCTTGACTAATTACTTTTCACTTCACCCTCATAATATTAATAGCTACATTTGTGTGGCATTTTGAAGAACATTGGGTGACACACAATAAAATTTAACATATATATCTTGGAACTTTACAAAAATTTTGAAAAAAATTTAATCCAGCATCTTTATAAAGTACATTATTCAATATTTTTAGTAGTAACATTAATGACAATGGAAATAAAATCATAAGAAATAATATTAAGTGAGTATTTCTGCTGTATATCCATTTAATTCCTGTGTTTTTCACAAGTATGGGAACTACTATACTCTCTCTTAAGTGACATATTCCCATCTGTGCATGACTCTGCATATCCCTTAATTAACTTTCCACCATAGTAATGGTCCATTTTTTACCCTCTTCCAGCATTATATTATCATCCTGTTTTAGTTTAGTTTCTTTGCTTACCATACCACTTAAGCAATTAAAAAAAAATAATTACCCATTTTCTTTAAACAATTCTTTTGTACTAGACATATATTTGTACTTTTGATTAATGCAGTCTACCTTTCAAACCTGCAGTTTAAATTGAACAATGGACTTGTGCACTGACAATCTTCTATGCACCTAGTCTTAACATAAAATAATAAACTCCAAAATTCTATAATTTTCCTTTTCTAATTAAAAATATTTCTTGGGTAATTGTACATAACTGCCCCATAATTTATTTTCAATTAGGCATGTGATTTACTGTTACCAATTAATTTTAGTTCTCAGATTCATTATAAAAGTCAACAAATAAAAAGTGCCATTACGTATTAATATGTTTGTGAAAAAGAGCTAATACCTGCTGGGTCATCTAAGGTTGCATGCTAAAAGGTGTTGACATTAAGGGGCAGAAGTGTGGAGGGTAAGAGCACGCTGAAAAGGAGGCCATAGTTGGTGCACTGAGTCAGTTTCGGTTATGAAGTCTACGTATCTACATTAAGAGAATTTTCGACAGAAGAGCAACCAGTGCAAAAGAGTTGAAGGAGAGGTCAGAAATATAATCTGCTTCTTCTTGACATGTACATTTGTGAGTCTTGTGTCTAAAACACACTCATGAAAGTACCATGTTCTGTAACCAACAAAGATGAATACCACAACTATGGTTTGACTAAAAAAACATATTAGATATAAACTTGTACAAATGATGTTGCCAGCAATCTTCAAAGCACTATAATAATACTAAAAAATAGTTGGAAAAGAGGTAACCCCTTGTAGGAAGTTGGAAGATCCAGTACTGGATAACACAGAGGAAATTTTGCAAGTTCTTTCCCAAGAATACCAGATTGTCAAGGGTCACAGTATAAGATGACATCTTTGTATATGTATATGCTAATGAGACACAGAAAACAATGATTGTTTAAAATTATGGGCTGTGAGTGTAATTGAAAATGTTTAAGATGAAGCATATGTCCATAGCAGATTTATTTATTTATTTCAGGGGGAGTGCTGCAACCATAGGTGAATGAGAAGCAATCAGGTTCAATTTAAGAAAAGACAGGTTTGGTCCAATTTTTTAAAGGCACCTGGAAAGATAGTTCACAGCAGAGATCAAGGATGTCAGGAATGAACAGGAGTAAGGGCAAACCTGGAGTACTGGGATCTCCTAGTGAGAGATAGGAAAATTAAGAGAAAGGGAAATGTGAAGGAGAGGTAAATATAGGAATACTACAAGCCTATGAGGACTAAATACATTCCTCTGGGATAGTTAAGATACCCATTTTATGTTAGCTTGTCTATTTCCATGGCCTTCCTGATACAATGACCTACTGAATTGTTACAGATATTAATAAGGCTATCTCCCACCAAGGTAGGGTGACTCAAAAGAGAAGAAACACCTTTACCATCACTCATTCCATTACTGTCTTGCCAGAGGTGTGCCTCTCTAAACTGCAGACAGTGTGTGTCCCAACTCCAGGACTCAAGTCCAGTAAACTGGTTTCCCTGAATCCCTTCATAAATATTACCTTGATCACACCTTAATAGCACGTAAAGTAATAAAAACCACTTGCCTCCACTCACTGCTTTCTAACATGGTCACACATGCCTGTTGGATGACCAAGCCCCTTGCATACACCTCTTTTACTCCCTCCCCCCAACCTTTCCTAGGGCAACCCCTACCCTGTCTTCCCTCTACTACAGATTTGTACACCCTCCAAGTCATCCTATTTTGCTCAATTCTCTCAATGTCCAAACCACCTCAACAACCCCTCCAGAGATCTCTGGATAATACTTTCAGTAACCTCACACCTTCTATCTCCAAATTTCAAATCCTCTGCATAATGTTCACACTACATGTTGCAACTGCCTGTGGGGAAATAGAAAGGACCTGAATTAGGAAACCTTCCAATGGGTCAGCAAGTTCATTTTTCTGAATTCCAGCATGGGCACAAAAACAACAAAGGCTAGCCTTGCCATGTCTATTAAAGTTAAGGCATAGCAAGAAAATGTGAGAATTGTAATTCTGAATTACAGTACTTGCAATGCATTTGAGTTTGAGACCACAACAACTGAAACAGCAACAGCAGAAATAGCTTACAACTCTTTGGTACAAATATTAACTAAAAGCTAATCAACCTTGGATCATGATAATAGGAAAATGAACCATATATCCCACTCTGTCGGAAAATCTAGTGCCATCAATGTACACAGCAGTAACATCAGTGTGACTGGCAATAGTGAAAGGAGATCAAGCATGAGTCTGAGGAAGAGAAGTCAAAGTTCAGGAACAGCAGATAGAAAAGGCAGATTTGGAACCCAGGGATTTCCCAAGGCGGATGAGAGAAATGAGAGAGAACAACAACTAGCACACAATAAAAAGGAAAAACACTAACTGTCACCTATACTAACCTCAGTAATAACTCCACAAGTCACTGTATCATGGAGTATGCAAAACAAGCATAAGTGAAACAATGGGTATACTTTAAAAAGGCCCTGGAGGTATCATAAGTACCTGGGAAATAGGAGAAAATCAAGTATGGCCCAAGGAACAAGAGGGTAGCTCTCATTCCCTATATCAAGATCCCTTCACCAGCATCAAGGCAAATCTGCTTGAAGAGTTCAATAGGAAGAAACAGCCACAATTTAAAAACTGAGAAAGCAATGCCAAAAAACGATACAAAAATTTTTTATTTATGAAGATAGTTGTAAAATACTGTACTGAGATGGGATCCAGAAAATAGCAAATACATACAATAACCACTGAAAGGTTGACAAAAATTGATTGACAAATTAAACACCACACTTATATACATATTTCCTTAAGTTGTTACCGACAGAGTGGAACACTGCAATTCTCAAATGTCTTTTTTTTTTAATCTTGGTTTTCTGGATGTACAGTATCTATGATTATATATAAAGCAGGCTTTGTGCACATGTCTTCTTTTGTATCACTGGAATTTTTTAAGAATGAAGTGTGCACCTTGTCTGTTGCTTTTCAAGTAAATGAATGTTGACTACCTGGACACAATAATGTCATCTTGTATGCTCCTGATAAAACACTAATAACAATGCTGTATTTCTGTTTTATTTCTGTCTGTATTTAGTACATATTTCTGTCTGTATTTAGTACTGAGTAGGTAGGTAGGTAGATGGCCCGGTGGCCTGGTGGCTAAAGCTCCCGCTTCACACATGGAGGGCCCGGGTTCGATTCCCGGCGGGTGGAAACATTTCGACACGTTTCCTTACACCTGTTGTCCTGTTCACCTAGCAGCAAATAGGTACCTGGGTGTTAGTCGACTGGTGTGGGTCGCATCCTGGGGGACAAGATTAAGGACCCCAATGGAAATAAGTTAGACAGTCCTCAATGACACACTGACTTTCTTGGGTTATCCTGGGTGGCTAACCCTCTGGGGTTAAAAAGCCGAATGAAAGCTTATCTTATCTCTTATCTAGGTTGGTAGACAGCAACCACCCAGGGAAGTACTGCCGTCCTGCCAGATGACTGTGAAACAGAAACCTGTAACTGTTTTGCATGATGGTAGGATTGCTGGTGTCTTTTTCTGTTTCATAAACACGCTAGATAACAGGGATATCTTGCTACTCCAACTTACACTTTGGTCACACTTCACAGACATGCACATGCATATATATATACATACATCTAGGTTTTTCTCCTTTTTCTACATAGCTCTTGTTCTTATTTATTTCTTCTATTGTCCATGGGGAAGTGGAAAAGAATCTTTCCTACGTAAGCCATGCGTGTCGTATGAGGTGACTAAAATGCCGGGAGCAATGGGCTAGTAACCCCTTCTCCTGTAGACATTTACTAAAAAAGAGAAGAAGAAAAACTTTATAAAACTGGGATGCTTGAATGTGCGTGAATGTAGTGCAGATGACAAGAAACATATGATTGCTGATGTTATGAATGAAAAGAAGTTGGATGTCCTGGCCCTAAGCGAAACAAAGCTGAAGGGGGTAGGGGAGTTTCGGTGGGGGGAAATAAATGGGATTAAATCTGGAGTATCTGAGAGAGTTAGAGCAAAGGAAAGGGTAGCAGTAATGTTGAATGATCAGTTATGGAAGGAGAAAAAAGAATATGAATGTGTAAATGCAAGAATTATGTGGATTAAAGTAAAGGCTGGATGTGAGAAGTGGGTCATAATAAGCGTGTATGCACCTGGAGAAGAGAGGAATGCAGAGGAGAGAGAGAGATTTTGGGAGATGTTAAGTGAATGTATAGGAGCCTTTGAACCAAGTGAGAGAGTAATTGTGGTAGGGGACCTGAATGCTAAAGTAGGAGAAACTTTTAGAGAGGGTGTGGTAGGTAAGTTTGGGGTGCCAGGTGTAAATGATAATGAGAGCCCTTTGATTGAACTTTGTATAGAAAGGGGTTTAGTTATAGGTAACACATATTTTAAGAAAAAGAGGATAAATAAGTATACAAGATATGATGTAGGGCAAAATGACAGTAGTTTGTTGGATTATGTATTGGTAGATAAAAGACTGTTGAGTAGACTTCAGGATGTACATGTTTATAGAGGGGCCACAGATATATCAGATCACTTTCTAGTTGTAGCTACACTGAGAGTAAAAGGTAGATGGGATACAAGGAGAATAGAAGCATCAGGGAAGAGAGAGGTGAAGGTTTATAAACTAAAAGAGGAGGCAGTTAGGGAAAGATATAAACAGCTATTGGAGGATA